ACTCTGTCTAGTCTAAGATCGGACCACCGCGTGTAAGATGTGTTATGTTACTATTAGGTCTTGCATACCTATGAAATTGCCGTTGCACCTACCGACTATTACTTTTTCCAAAATTTAGACAACTTTTTAGTGGGTAAAAAATTCAATTCCCGAGAGGCAGTACAAAATGCCTTTGAAGAGTTTGTTGCCTCCCGTCCAGCTGATTTTTACAAGAAGGGCATCAATAAACTGCCAATGCGTTGGCAAAGATGCGTCGATTACATGGGAGATTACTTAGAATAACAGAAATAAAAAAGTTTGAAAAATAAGTACGTTCACTTATTGCATACAAAACGGCAATTTCATAGGTAAAGACCTAATATTAATCTGAACTTCCTCCGTCCGTCTAACTACAGGCCAGCCATAACCCCTTTGTTCTTTAAGATTAGGGAATTATTATCGTTTCGCCCAGCCCAGTATGCTCGTTGAACGGAATCAAAGGGCGAGTGGACGGATCGGTCCACATCACATCACATCAACAGCCTTTAATAGTCCACTGCTGGACATAGGCCTCTCCTTAAAAAAGAGGTTTTGGCCTACTATACCACGCTGGCCAGACGGGTTGGTATATGGTTTGTATCAAGTTTCCGACGAAGTTTGTTTGAAGTTTTGACGGATCGGTCCAAAGCACTGTATCTTTATCGCCGTGTCTAAGCAACGCGCGGAGCTTGTTTAGGCAAAACACTGACTTTACATTGTAGGTCATAAAATGCAAACAATAATTTACAATAATTCGAAATATATTAAATAGTATAGATTGCACCAAAGTCTTAAGTAACATTAAGGCGGGAAGTGATTAATAAAAAAAACAGTGGTACTCACAACACGTGGATTAAAACAGGTTTTTTTTTTCGATTCGAAAAGTTCCGACATGAATATACTCTATATATATACAAATAAATAAAATTGTAGTGTCTGTTTGTAGTATAAAATAACCGCTTTTTACTAAATGCATATGTATGTTTACACGGTACATATGCCAAAATAACATTTTTTACAATTTTTGTCTGTCTGTCTGTTTCTTCCGAGTAATCTCTGGAACGGCTGCACCGATTTCAACGGGACTTTCACTGGCAGATAGCTGATGACATAAGGAGTAACTTAGGCTACTTTTTTTAGACTAACTTCGCCCCGCGGCGTTGCCCGCGGTTATAACAACAAAAGCGGGTAACACCGCGGGTCTCAGTACACAATATATGCTTATATTAAATATGGTTATATTATCAATGTATTTCAACCCAAAGTCAATTCTCGTGTAAACTGGGCCAATATATGTAGATCCTTTTATACAGAGGTGTCGGTAACGGTAACAGTGTCGCAATTCAATGGTTTTATCGAATCTCAAAAAATACATTCTTTTGTTTGTTGTTAAAGAAGTTTACACTTCAAAAAAAGCAGTACAGTATTTAAACCAAATAAATTATGAACTGTTTTATATTTTCGCGCCAAAATATCCCGCCTAAAACAGTCAGTCAGTCATAATTGGCCCTTTTTCTGAATTTTAGATTTTTATGTTGCTAAGAATTTTTTGGCAACACAAAAATCTTTAGAAATGTTTAAAACGGGGTTTCTTTTTTCCTACTCGTGACCCATGATGTAAATGAAGATTTCTTATTTTCTGAAATAGGATTTTAATTTTAATGGTTAAGGGGTTGGACTTGCGATAAAATGGATATGGGTTTGAACTTCATCCAGTGCACTACCTACGTGTACTAACTCAAGCCTTAGTTAGCCTAGTTTAGAAACTTTGCTTGTCAAAAAAAGGTATATATTTTCCGAGGGAGATTAAAGGCAGAGTCCTACAGCGGGCGGAGCGTGACAGTAACGCGGTGTTCGCTTGTAGTAATGTCATATGGAACCGACACACTCGACGCACAACGCTAGCACAATTCGTGCACATTTCAAACTCTTATGTCGCGTCGATGTCCCGCCTCGCATGCTGTCTGTCCCAACTTTAAATAGCCCAAATTATTAAAAATAAAAAAGCAGGCATGTTAACATACGTATTTGGTTAATTGAACAGTATTTAACGACCCCGGAAACTGAACAGCTTTGGTGCAATCAAATAATCCAACAATATTATGACTACAAGGCAATATGGCGTCACTTACATTTACAACTAAAACTATATATTTACAAATTTATATAAATTAATATCATTTTTGGTGGAATGTTTATTTCGGTGTCAGATTTACAAATACACGAAACTTAAACTATACTAACTGTGACTCGCGGTTTCACTCACTTTTACAGCCACTGCTCCGCTCCTAAGGGTTCACGCTTACATTGCTTTTTTATGGTATAGGGTGGTAAACGTACAGACGGGTCACGTGATGGTAAGGGACCCCCGCCCCCCAGAGAGAAGGGAAGAGCTCCAGTAACCTCGCTAACTCCGTGAAAAGCTATGAAGGAACTCACCACCGGTTTAATGTGAGGCTGTGTTATGACTCCGATCGAGCATGGCCCATATATGCTAATGAATAGCCTTCCCACGATAACATAAAGTTAAAATGAATACTTCTCAATAAATACTGTATAGAATACAAAAATCATTCAAATCTGACTGGTAGTTCTAGAGATAAGAATGTTTAATCAAACAAAAAATCTATTACAGTTTGAATTTGATTTGGCAGTGTAGTAGCATCTGACTTCGAAGTGAAACTACGCAGGTTCGATTGCCGCTCAGTGCAAATACTTGCATTGGTCCGGCGTTTCTCTGTACACGTATAATAGGTACCTTTTTATTTACAAAAAATGTTAATACATTAAATGGTTTTTAGGAAAACCAAAAGTCCTAGAATTATCTAATAATAATATCGTACCACATTCACACAACGCTATCTAGTCCCAAGATAAGCAGAGCTTGTACTATGGCTACTAGACAACTGATATAAATACATATATATATATCTACTTTTTGTAAACACATACATGTTATACATAGAAACACCCAGCCCAAATCAAACATTAAATATTCATGCACACAAATGTTTAACTTGAGCTGGAATCGAACCCGCGACTATTGACGTGGCAGTCCTTTACACAAACCACTACATCATCCAGCTGTTAATATATGTATATACATAATAAAAATATTTAAGTATATACATACATTGTATGTTTTAACGGATTTGGAATACAGAGTGTCACCACCCCTATTTATCCCGTGGGTGTCGTAAGTGGCGACTAAGGAAACAAACTACGCAGGACAACAGCACTGCAAAAAGATGGCAAACTTGAAACTAACTCGATACAACTCTGGCCAGTGTGGTATAGTAGGCCAGAACCACCTTTCTAAGGAGAAGCTTATGTCCAGCAGTGTTAAAGGCTGAAATAATTTAATAGGCTGCTGCTAAAATAATGACTGCTTAAGCGGTCGCCACGCCGCTTCCTACTACGCCGAGTGTTGTGGGAGTGGATTTATTCCTAATGCGGGAGTTGTCTTTTTTGAAAAAAAAAAATTGAATGTTTAACCTTGCCTACCCCTTCGAGCTATGATTTTATGTTTGTATTACTAATGGTCATTCTATAAACAAGAATATAAGTGGTATTCTGTTTACTGCAAAGCAATTTCCATCTTAAAGTGACTTTAAATAACATTGCATTAAAGCCAGGTATATACTCATTAGCAGCTAGTCAATTAAAAAGAGGTTTTTAATGAGCGATGATTAAAAATATATAGTTATGTTGTAGGATCTATGAAATTTTTCAATTAACATTTATGGAGATAAATTATACCTAAAAGTCTTGTTATAATCTATTCATATAAAATTACCTGCCTGGTCTGACTAATCAACGCAGAGTCTAAAGCGCTGGGACTCATCATTATCATCATCAACAGCCTTTAATTGTCCACTGCTGGACATAAGCCTCTCCTGAGAAAGGAGGTTTTGGCCTACTACAGGTTTTTTGGTTTACTTTGGTTTGGCGCTGGGACTACAAACTTGAAAATTTAATAGCTGATGTTTTTTTATGTTGTCAACACCCACTAAAAAAAGATTTCTGAAAATTACGTCCCAAAGGGGGTAAATTAAGGCATGAAGTGTTGTGTGGAATTTCGTCATAACCAATTTTAGAAACACGTAATGGGAAATTATCACGCTAATAATAGCAAGTTAATTCATACAAAGATTAACATGAAACTACTGCTAAATATTGAATTCTCAACTTTTCCACCTTTTTTTTTTTTCCGTGCGGAAATCTCCTCGGATACCACCTATCGGTGGCATGTCGGACTCGAATCGACTAAAACCACACGCCGTCTCGGGTACTAATAGCCGGGGAACCAGGTATACCCTAGAAAGGAAGTCCCTGGTGCCCCGACATACCTCGGGTCATCTACAGACGAGTAGACGACCCCCCCCCCCGTTCAACTTTTCCACCTAATTCTTAAAATTCCCAGTTGACAGCAATAGGTTCGTATTACTTGAGTATGAATAAAATTATATTCAGCAAACTGTTGGCATTATAAATGCCTCTGTCTTCCCTCGGAGCCTCTCGAAGATCTGGCTTCGGAGACCAAAATACACCTATTCTTCAATGACTTAACATTTCAACATCTCAAAGATTAGAAACAAATATTCCTGACCTGTTGGTCTAGAGGTGAGTGACCCTGACTGCTAAGCCAGAGGTCGTGGGTTCGATTCCCACCTAGGACAAATAATTTTATAATGAGTAGGATCATTTGGTCTGTGTCTAGGTGTAATTTATCTATAAGATATGTATGTATTTAGAATTATAAGTATGTTTATCAGCAGTCTGGTTACTATAGCACAAGCTCTGCCTAACTTGGGATCAGACGGCCGTGTGTGAGATGTGTGAGGTTATTATTATTAATATTGTATTATTGTTAATTTAAATTCCATAGAAGGAATGGTTTTCTTCTCTGGTTCGTCCAAGTCATCTCCAAGCTGTGGTTCAGGTACCATCCGGTTCTGAATATGGAATACGAAGATGATACTTCAGTTGGAATGATTTCTAGCTGGTAGTTGTGTATGTGTGGTGTGTGAAGGCAAGTGTGGAGGATGAAGAGCTGGATTCGCGACTGCTATGATGCTGTCCCCTCGTGCTGCTACCACTTGGGGGCGAGATTCTTCTGCATCCTGAAAAAGATCGTTGATACAGTTTTTTTTAATACATATTGATCAATCCTTAAATACTGTTTAAAACTCTACATTTCTTTATTTAATTGTTAAGATTACACAAATCGATTTTACACTTTGAGAGAATTGGCTGCACGGATGGCGTAGTGGTTCAAGCGGTCACCCCGCCGCTTTCTACAGCGCTGAGTGTTGTGGGTTCGATCCCCGCATGGGACAGCACTTTGTGTGATCCACAAATCGTTGTTCTGAGTCTGGGCATTCTTTGTGTCCGTTTCATATGTGTTTGTAAAGTCAAAGTAACACAGGATTTATTGAGAGTTTTTTTTGTAAACCTTTTAAGTAAGACTTTCAAATGGACAAATGTTATTTATTTGATACTTAAAGTTTGAACGTAGAAGAAGAGGAGAAGAAGAGGAAACTGTTTTTTTTTTTAATAAATTTAATAATTATTGAAAACAATTACAAAAATATTAACGAGTCCAATATGAGACAACTGAAAATATACTGGTCATGATATAAAATCAATTACAATAGAAATTTGACAACCAAACGAATCTAATATTGCAAATATTTAGTTAAACTTGGCTGAATTCAGAGCAAAACGTCTATCTATACAAATAAATAAAATTGGAGTGTCTGTTTGTAATATTAAAATAACCGCTTTTTACTAAATGCATATGTATGTTTACACGGTACATATGCCAAAATAACATTTTTTATAATTTTTGTCTGTCAGTCTGTCTGTCTTTTTGTTCCGGGTAATCTCTGGAACGGCTGGACCGATTTCGACGGGACTTTCAATAGCAGATAGCTGATGACATAAGGAGTAACTTAGGCTACTTTTTTTGGACTAGCTTCGCCCCGCGGCGTTACCCGCGGTTATAACAACAAACGCGGGTAACACCGCGGGTTTCAGCTAGTTAAGTATATTCTGAAACGTTAATTAGCGGTCTGTAATAACGTCATCATCATTCGATGATAATTTCTCCTAATGATCATCAACATACTTTAACAGTCCACTGCTGGACAAAGGCCTCTCCTTAGAAAGGAGGTTATGGCCTACTATACCACGCTGGCCAGACGGGTTGGTATAGAGTTTGTTTTAAGTTTTTCTTTTCTTTGCAGTGCTGTTGTCTTGCGTCTTTTGCTCCCTTAGTCGGCTCTTACGACACCCACGGGATGAATAGCGGTGGTGACACTCCGTATTCTTAATCCGTCACTACACGGATAATAAAGTACAGAATTTGATTCACTTACCGGAGGCGGCGTACTTGTGCTAGAACACCTGGAGTCAGCATCATCACTCTCAGCTTTTACACCCCACCAGCTGGAAAACATAAAATAATTAATATGTTATATATAATGAGATAAGAATGATAAATTTGACGGGCCTGTTGGTCTAGTGGTTAGTGGCCCTGACTGCTAAGCCAGGGAGGTCGTGGGTTCGATTCCCACCCAGGACAAATATTGTGTGATGAGCATGGTCATTTGTTCTGTGTTTGGGTGTAATTTATCTATAATATGTATGTATTTAAAAAATATATAAGTATGTTTATCAGCAGTCTGGTTACCATAGTACAAGCTCTGCCCAGTTTGAGATCAGACGGCCGTGTGTGAGATGTGTGAGGTTATTATTATGTAAAAAAAAATAAGATAAATTAATGTAAGAAAAAGATTATTTTCAATGATTTAAGTTCAACTAACAAAAATTATCATATTCGTTTTGATAGTGACGATAAATGCCTGTATGTTCAATTGTCTTTAAGTAATTTCTAAGGTATACGGGGGCAAACGAGCAGACGTGTCACCTGATAAGGTAAGTGACTACCGCCACCTATTTACACCTGTAAGAGTTAGAATTGCGTTGAGTCTCGCCTCCCCACCTCCAAGAAACAGAGGGAGAAGGGTTTCGGCTCCGATAACTTGGCTCACATTTGGTACGACCCGGGAATCGAACCCGAGACCTCAGCAGTCGCATACGCTACCTCTGCACCGCCGAGGCAGTAAATTTTCTGCTCTCCATTTCATGTTAATAATTTTACACTTTGTCAAAGGAAGTTATTATTGCGGTAACTCGGTATTTATAATCTATATGTATAGTCTATAGTTATGTATAATCTATATCTTTACTTAAAATGAAATTTTAAATTCATCTTTAGATATAAAATTCGAATTTGAAATTTCAATAAATTCTTATAAGAATAAAATAATCTAAAGCTATTGCATAGCATTTTGTATCAACTTATGCAATTATAATTATTTATTTATTTTATTTATGCAGTATTTCTTTTTCTTTGATATTAATTCAAGTTACACTTTTTGAGCGTGGTGACCGATAAGAAAACAAATTTCTTTCTTTTATTAAATAAAAATATTGAAGCATATATTACAATTTGTTTTTAAATAAATAAATAAAAAATATTATTATTAAATCAAATTACATATCCATGTAAGATTTTTCTGCATTATGTTGACGAAATTTCCTTTGACGTTCAGCATTTGATTTTGGTACTGTTTTTTGTTTTGTTTTTAGCGTGAGGTTTTTTTTCGTTACGGAATTTCTGGATTCGGTCCCCGCGCTCAAGGCCCTCGATAGAAGCTATGCAATAGCTTAATAAACGACTGTTTACATACATTCATATTAACCTAAGGTTCCAAAATGAATATGACATAAAATATACCTATTGGAATTACTCCTGGCTGCGTCGGGACTGGCTCTGATTCCGTTACCATCCTCCGCTTCCTAGATATTAAGAACCCTGTTAGTTTTATTACAATATTTTTTATCTCGTTATATTAACAAAAAAAAACGAGCGAGCATTACAGTAGTTGTAAATACTGTGTAACATCAGACTTCTCACCTACCATCGTCTTTAATAGTCCACTGCTGGACATAGGCCTCTCCTTAGAAAGGAGGTTTTGGCCTACTATACCACGCTGGCCAGACGGGTTGGTGTTTGTTTCAAATTTTCTAAGTCGGCTCTTAAGACTGAGAGTGGTTTGGGCTCCGTTAACCTCACTCAATCGGTGAACAGCAACGGAAAAATACGGTATTTAGATTCAAACTAAACATTATCTTTATAATCTTTGTTATGAATCCTTGTAAGTATGATCAATTTATTCTGATTACGGGTCTACATACATTATACCTTTTGTTTACTTGAATAACAGCTTTATTTCGCACAATCACACTTACAAAATTCTCTTAAACACTTACAAAATTTAGTAATACTGTCTTAGTTATCATGCTAACGACTTCATGTTATGTTAATTAAGCAACAAGTTTTCCAGTTTAGTGCAGTCGTATTCTCGGTTAGTCATCCCGTGCTATAACTAGAAGTTACATAACAAATAACAAGTTATATAATACACAGGTCCTTGATAAGCAGATTACTTAGTCATCGTCTATTGTAGATCTATTTTTTCATAAGAAGCTCATGCAAATAAGGAAATAATATTGAATATGTCTACTCACCTTAACTGAAATGCCATTACCGTTCTAAAACAAAAGAAACTACAGTGCATACCAAATTAATAATCTTTGATAAAGCCTTCGATTGATATATCATGCTTACCTTTGTTAAGTAATTGCTAATAAACTTAAAATTATAGGATTCCATTTGTTACTTATGAGGTCCGGGAAAAATAAATGTGCGATAGAATTTAAATAAAGCAATTTAACATAAACAAATAAGCCTAATACGTTCATGTATCTGGTAATATTTATAAAGGAGTACCTCAAGTACCTATCCTAGGTCCACATGCAATGGCATAGATCTTTATAATGTTTCAATTTGTCTTTTTATAAAATAGTGTATTTTTGTTTGTAAATTTTCGTAACTTTTTTGCATAGTAGTAGTCATCTCTCGACTAGTTTATTAAGGTAGTTTCTTTTAAATTATACGGAGTCAGCTTGTCAGTGCTTCATATTTTTCTAAAAGTATCACGAAAATTTTTCGTTGATATTTCATTTTGTACTTATTTATCTTTTGATAACTAGCAAAAAGTCTTAATCAAGATGTTTGCCATAGTGTTTTTTTTTTATTTCACAGTACAAATAGTGTTGTCGTACTGTAGGTATTAGTACTTCCGTAAACCATCTAAGCATTATGTTATTTGGGTGTTAGAATACAGAAGCTAGTTAATTTCCCATTAGGTAAATGATCATTGTGTGTGAGAAAGAGAAGTGTTAGTGTTATTCCCCATAGATTAGTGTAAGAGCTAATCCGTGAGATCTACATGAGCTGTGGGAGCGACCTGTCGCGGACGCTTTGCTGGTGTCTCGTCCTCATCTCGCTCCCGATCCTCACCAGTTGACGCTGTTGGCGGTAGACTGTAAAGATAAAGAAATCAGTAATTTAGAGAATTATTACAAGTAAGTTAAGAATTTGAAAAATAATTCATTAAAAAAAAAAGCTTTGTTTCTGGAATTTACAGTTGTGTTAAAAAATCTATTCAGGTAGGTAGTTATTTTAAGTAAAAGGAGGCAAATGTGTAGAAGGGTCACCTGATGGAAAGTGACTACCACTGCCTTTTTAACTCAGCACTTAATTCTTGCCTTAACTCAGCACACTTCACTCCGTCTACAACGGCTATGTTCATCGTAGTTTTTTGTACCCCAGCGACCTCTATTTTCTGTATGCAGATGGGCACTTTTTCACTTCCCCCTCCAGTAGATGATTCTCCATGCTTCTACACTCTATATTCAGAATGAAAAAATCTGACTAACATTACGCCATTTTTTCTAATAAGAGAAATACCAAATGATGTATTATATTAATATATAGTATGTATGTATGTATATTATTAGGTACTACAGGCATAAAGACGGTAGATATAAATATTTGTTGATATATTCTAGTAAAGTCTGTAGGTGTATTTAATATTTATACAAAACAATTGTATCAGTAGGATCTTTATTTGATGTTGTGGTTATAAAATTACGGATGCAATGCGAGACGGTGGCTTTGATTTCTAGTTTATTTATTCGTAATAAACACGATCATAATCAGGGAGTTTACTGCGTTTGTATTTTAATGAAGTACAGTTTTAAACAGCAAATTTTTTGCCGAATATATTATATATTTTTCAATGATAACCTCGACAACACAACACCATCTAATTTCAAACTAAGTAGAGCTTGTACTATGAAAGCTAGATTGACTGACAGAATCCTTACATACTTTTTTTGTAAATAAATGCATAGAAGAAACCCAAATATTTGGTTCGACCCGGGCATCACAATTTTATTTTTTATGACGCAAAGGGCAAGTGTGCAGACGGGTCAAATGATGGAAAGCAACTGCCGCTGCCAATGAACGTCTGCAACTCAAGAGTCACAAGCGCGTTGCCGGCCTCTTAGGAAGAAGTACGCTCTTTTTTTGAAGGTCTGAAGATCGTATCGGTCCGGAAATACCGCAGACGACAACTTGTTCACAGTTCACAGTTCAGCACAGATTGGTAATACGAGGCAAAAAGTGTCTTGAAAAGCGCACAGTACAGTGGAGTGCCATTTATCCAAGTGCTGAGGAAGAAAATTTTGCCGTGTAGAACGATGGCGGAAAGTTGCGGTATTGATCCGAACAATTCCTCGGAATACTCTCCATGATATACATGATGGAAAAGTCTATTTGAATTAAGCATTTTTGATTAAAAATATTCTTATTTGTGAACTCTGCAATCTTATGTTATGCATCTACCACCTTCTTCGTTGTCAACAATCAATGTTTTTCTTTCTTTCTTTCTATAGACACTTGGAGAACATTTCCTAAATGAAAGTAGTATTAATTAGGAAACAATAGAAATTAACTTACCCGTGCTTTGAGTAATGGAGACCTGCCCTCCGCACCAGTTGTCTCGCTAGTGGGAAGAGTTCATCCCTCCGGGTGAGTAAGGCGGGTACGCAGCGACAAATCTGTGCTGCTGCTTCGTTTACCATTACCTGAAGAAAGTTGTAAATGTTTATGACTTACCAAGAAGTGGTAGAAAAAATACAAATGATCTTTGAGTTGCGGCCATACACTATTTGACCATAAATTCAACCATGCGGTTTTGTCAGCCATGCGGGTTTGTCATTGTAGATTTATTTATACCTTTAGAGATGTATAGATTCTGTACCCATATAGATTTATGTCACCGTTTTTGCATTTATTTTTTACTAGCTTTTGCGGCTCCACCCGCGTGTATTGATTGCTTTTTGCGGTAAAAAGTATCCTATGTTACTCGCTGGTAATGTTGCTTTCCATTGGTGAAAGGATGGTTAAAATCGATTTAGTGGTTTAGGCGTCAAGGCGTAACAAACAAACAATACGACGGCGGCGCCGACTCCGGCCTCGGGCAAATGCTAGTACTCGTATACAGATAATCAGGAATGCTTATTAATACACTTAAATATGATAGCAAACTGTTTATTACGCAATATATAAATAAAACTGGTTATTTGAATAATATTTTATTAAGTTATTGAATATTTATGGCTTTATAACTTGAAGTCCATTCAACATGTGCAGTTTTTAATAAGGAGTAGCATTCTTTATTTTATGTTTAGCTTCCAACCTAAAAGTTTTTATTAACCTTAGCCTAAATTTTCGTTTAAAATGTTTAGTAACATTTATTTTTACGATAAAGGCACTTAAAATTTTGGAAAGAAAGAACTTTCAAGACTCTAAAGGCCACCATTTTGATTTTATATCGAAACAATAGCAATGGTATTTAGGTTAAACCAGTTGAGAGCCAGAAAAATGGACTTGTAGAATTCAGTTCAAAATGCAGCAAATACTGGAGAAAGAGTTCCATCCAATCAGCAAAAAGAGCGTCACTTCCAATTACGAATATATTTTTTGAGATCCATAAGAGGATTTTATGATATCCTGTAAATCAGGCAAATTGTTCAGTACTTAGTAAAAGTGAATTGTTCACTAAAAAAGTTTTATAAGAAGCTTAGCCTTATAAAAATATTCCCGAGACTTCTTAAGCCTCTTCTCAACGATACATTTAGTAAAACATAGTTACTACGCTAACGCCTACGTTATCCGTGTGGTGACGGATTAAGAATACAGAGTGTCACCACCCCTATTCATCCCCTGGGTGTCGTAAGAGCCGTTGCAGGACAACAGCACTACAAAGAGAAGGAAAACTTTCAACAAACCCTATACCAACCCGTCTGGCCAGCGTGGTATAGTAGGCCAAGCCCTCCTTTCTAAGGAGAGGCCTATGTCCAGCAGTGGACTATTAAAGGCTGTTGATGATGAGTTACTACGCTAAATCCTTACCTCGTGCAGCGTCAATGGTTTCTCAGGTTTCCTCTTGCAATCGAACCGTCCATATATAGCCGCATACTTCCTTATCTCCTCCATTCTCCTCGGATCTGACTCCGGCATCATCATTACCAACTCCAAGTCCTTACACATCTTCTTCTTCGTGTTCTGTGGCTTCGGCTCCAGTTGTGGCAAATGTTTGCTCAACTTTTCAGCTGCCGTTGCCAATTTTTGTACATGAACATCTAAGAGAACTGGTGTTAGTTGAACCGGTGATGTGACTGAACTTGGACTTGATCCAGCTGATGCAGGTGGGCAGGCACTTTGAGGAGAGAATGATCTAGAAGCTGTAGAAGTTATTGGAGCAGCTGGCGCAGGGGATGGAGGTAAAACTATCTTTGTGAACGTATTCGCTTGGTGCACAGGACTAGCGTTGGGGGCAGATGCGGTAGACCCGCAACTGTTGTCAGGTGCACCAGGAGATGGACTATACATTGGTCTGCTATTTTCAGGAGATGCTACTGTTCTGGGGAGGACGTTAGGAATCGATGGAGGCATATTTAGAAGTCTTTGGTTGCATTGGATGAAGGGGTTTTCTGTTGGACAGAGGTTGGAAACAATGGGGATTTGGAAGAGGGCAGGATTGTTGACCCATTCTTGGAGGGCCTTCTGCAGACGTCTGACGTGAAGGGGTTTTGATGCCATGCCCACGAGCGCCATGATTTCTAGAAACTCTTCTTCACCAGCATCGCAGAGTTGCTGCACATCATCTCCGCCTGCAAGAATGACATTCCGCTTATTAACTTAACGAAGAACCTTTAATTATTTGAAGTTTAGGAATTTACATTTAAAAACTTCTTTTTGTAGTGACCTTGAATACTCATATGTTCCGGGTTGTTGGTTTCCATATTTCCATAGTTTAAAAAACGTGTTTAGGTTAAAGTAATCTTTCAATCTAATTTGTAAACTACAGCATTCGTTGTGCAACTGAATACCGGATATATGTAATGGCAATCTTGAAATAAATATTTCCTTTTTAAGAAATACTAATCTACTTTATAATATAACTCGGATGCATTAAAACCTAAGCAACTAGCATCTGATAAAAATTTGTAAACAAGCAATTAAAAACCTGACTGCAAAGGGACAGTTAAGTAATACACAAAGGCCGAAACAGCACTAGGTCAGACACAATCATATAGGCGAAGGGAAGCGTCGATTGGGTTGAGGGGGGGTCTGAAATAACATGGTCCGGGTTCTCCTCAGGGCCTGAAAACGGCCATTGGAGGGATTTTGCAGATAAAACACTACATACCCCGAGGAGTCGGAGAACCGCAGGCACAAACATGAAACATTTTTACGTCATAAAAAACTTTTTAAACCAATTTATTATTCCTTATTAAATATAAATATTTCACAAATAAATATATTTGTAACACTTTAAATTTTATTGATTTTGGTAGCCTTCTCGATAGTTTGTGTTAATTTATTACATTTACAAAAAAATACATAAAGGAGTAGTGTGCACAAAGGCGAGCTTATCCCATAATTGAGTTCTTTTAAAACATACCTATGAGTGAACAAAGGATAGCACAACAAGAGAGTTTTATTAACCCATTACTATTAAAAAATCCGCAATATTGTTTTTTTTCTTTCAAAAAGGCATCTAAGGATACCTGGGTTTTTGAAACGGATAAAACAATACCTTAATTGTCGAAATCCATACAGCCATTCGACAGAGGTAGTAAAGAAATTTATAAACAAACATAAGTACAATAGACGCGCGAAAACATAGGTAACCCTTCCTTGACAATCGGGTAAAAAGTAAAGATATTTCTGTACAACTCCTAGAATACACAAGTCTAAAAAAGTACATTAAGATATGTGCAATACAAGCACAATTCTTACAAACAAAAACTTATCATGAGCGTCTGGTTAAAAAAGCATTCATTCAAGAAAGTTCAAGAGAATAATTATGATTTCTCAAAGTCCAAAAAAAATGGACCGCGTTATTACAACTTCTTACATTCACATGACAGAAAAAACTGGACTATTGTTGCAAATAGATAGATTGGTCCCATATGCATTAATATGCAAGACTTTCTTGCGGCGCAAGTTCATTTCGCTAGCATTGTTCCACACAAAAACGTGAGATACGCTTAAAAAACATAAACTCACATACCAGTTTTAATTTAGGCAAATATGCAAATAGTTACGTGACCATTTTGCGAAGGGGCGCTAAGAAAAAAAAAACAAAAGGATAAGGCCGACTGGCCAAACCCTTCCTTGGCGCGAGTAATCGCTGGTATTAAAAAGTAAAAGATTAAAAAAGTAATTTGCATTTAGACGCTTAGCGCGCGTTTTTTAGCTTTATGGAAATTTACTTTTTTCATCATTCCGTGATGAGAAATTCTTTTTTCTTATGTTCCTATGATCTTGTATAGAAATAGGCAATACATTATTATTATTGGAAGGGTATATTGTTAATTTCATCAATCATTTTGTGAAAAGTATGTCGGTATTGCTTTGTTTTTATTTTCTTACATTTCATTAATTGTGACGTATGCATATAGTTAGTAAAGGTATGTTTTTGTAAGAAATTAATACGAGTTATTTTTTATTTATTTATGTTAGGTTGGGTTATTAAGTGTTCGGTTGATTTTAGTTTTTTATTCGTGAAGAAATATCGTCAATGAAGTAGTATTTTTAGCACTTGCTTAAACGACGAAAAACTGGCAAATCTGCTCATAAGGGGAATGTGAATGTTAGTTTTATCAGACGGGTCGGGCTACGAGTACTAGTTTCTACTCTAACTACCATTGCGTAGCAATTAACAATCCATGACGTGGCAACACTGTTTAATTATAAAAATACATACCCATTTCAAGCAGCGTATCGTAATATGCGAGAAGACTGGCGCGTTGCATGACCCTGTATAGTTGCAGTTCAGCCTCGTTGGCGGGGGCGGATGTCACCACCACTGAAACATGAATACAAGTTTTTATTTTTATATACATTATATAATAATTCTGTAAGTCTGTATGTCACTCAACTTCTAAACCGCTGGATCACTTTTGCTGAAAGGATTTTTTTATGTGTTGTATACAAAATTGGTCTCAATAGGTGACGCTGCAACTGGGTTTTTGAGATAGGTACTTATTTCGAGAGCCATAGCGTTTAAAAAAAAGTTTATAGCAATTGACTCTGGAAGCCTTGCTGTTATTTTCTAAAACTTTATTTATAATATGAGGCAAACGAGCACATCGGTCACGTGATGGAAAGTGACTACCACCTAACACTAATACCTGCAAATCAGATTTGAAATAAGGGTATGCTCTTTTCTTAGGCCCGTCCGCACAGCGATATTTTTTTTTACACCATGACAGTCCTATATGGTCCTATATAGACAGTCACAGAATTTTGGCGCAGGCGGTGAAAAAAATCCGTGATTTGATCCAAATTGAACGCGATACGGTGACGGTTTGTTTCCAAAGAAATATAGCTGTGCGGACGTGCCCTTAAACCTCTTTTCTGTTTTACTGTAGGCATAGCATTTTAATTTATTTATTACTGGTAGTTCCCTACAGTTTATCCTGCTTCCTTGTCAGGTTTCATACACAATTTATAACAAAATGTTTTATTTAAATTAAGATATTTTAATTCTGCTGTTAGGGGCGGAGACAAATCCAAAATATCAAATTTCATAAAAATCAGTCCAACCGTTCTCTTATAAATGGTGCAACTAACCCGTCTTTATTTTATTTATTATACATATTAGGGACTATTAACTAAGTATATATAATTAATACAAACTAAGAAAAATGCAACACAAATTAAATGTTAACTTTTTAAGACATAACACACAACGATTTTATAGTCTTAAACACCTATTCTTTTCTTCCAGGAAAACGCATTTAATCCATTAAATGTAACCTTCAACCAAATCAGCATCTGTTTCATGCAAAACGCATTAAAAGACCCAAAAAATAAAACTAAAAATGTCGAAAGTAAAAACCGATCATTTGCGTGCTCGAAACGATTTGATTCTGAAATTGCGTGACGAGAAGCCCACATAAAAAATAACCCCTTTTCAAAGCAACCCTAGCTATTACCGAAAAGAATACGAACGACCGTTACCGTATTGAAAATAAATGAATAAACTTTACATAAAGAACCCTTTGTTATCGTACGGGTTGAGCTATAGACTATGGTTGTCTATGGGCCAATGCGCTGTGTGCGCGGGAAAAATATTGATATGAAAAAAAATGTTGCCACCCTTGCTGTATACTATTGGTTTTTGTGTAGTAAAAAAAATAGGGTGGGTAGACTCCACCCCGGTCGCAGGTAAAAATTCATTATATGAAGCAAAAAATACTAGAAAAAATAGATGCAATATAGTTTTATGTACTGTGTGTTTTTATGAATGTGTTTGTGTGCGTTTGTCCCTTGTGTTTGTTTGGGTGTATATAGTTAATGTTCAAAGTATTTATTACATAATAGAAAGATAAATGGTTTAGAAATTCAGTTTAAAATGTTTTAAGAGTGGTCATTGTTCTTTTAAAAATGGTAAAGGAATAGGTATTTTCATAGTAGGTATATTATAATATATATTATCTATATTGGATATGTATTTAATCATAATTATATCAGACAACATCAATGTTACTAGAAAACTACAAATTCAGTCACAATTCTAATCTTTTATTTTTCATTCTTTTATTATTTTTGCTGGTTTAAATACTAAATTGTGTAAGATATTTAAGACTATCCTTTGTGCATCTGAAAATAAGAAACGATAAATATAACACATGCCTAAGTTAAAAGTAGAAATGACTTTAAACTGAAATTAATTAAATAATAAAAAACAGGTATCCACCTATGAGAATTATTTTTTTCTTAAACTTAACCCTGTGTTACACGGCGCTATTTTTTTTACACTAAAAAGTCTCACTACACGAAGTGTCCAAAAAACACATTACCATAATCTTTTTGAGTGAAAAAAATCGCCACAGACGTATGCAAATTTAAATTTGATTCAAAGGGGTAAGAGCGGCCACGGTGAGCACCTTTGTCTTTTTTTTATCTTTAAAAAGTGGTCACGTAGCAATTTGCATATACGTAGTTAATACAAGTTAATTTTATGCATCTCTCACGATAACTTGCAAGTTTTTTGCTGATTAACCTAAAGATTTTTTTTTCTTGTCTTCAGATAGTTGTACCCTTTGTTTAATTATTTGTTAAAGTTGCTGTGAGAAAATGATTTGAACTTTTATCATAGAAAAAAAACAATTCATATAAATAATATTATTACTGTTCTTTGGCTTTCTTATGTTTTGATACGAGTAGCATAGGTGTTTTCAGCAGTTTTCTATTTCTAATGCCTTTTGGCATTAGTGTATGTATATACACACACTCACCTCTGCTTTTCTCTATGACATAGGGGACAAACGAGTAGACTGGCCAACTGAAGTTAAGTGACTACCGACATCGATGGACATCTTAAAATTAAGATTCATAAGTGCGTTACCAGCTTTTAAGTACTTATATGAAGGGGATTATGACTGGTTACAGAGATTGTAATCTCGACATCTTTTTTGTGACATACGTAAATCGAAGCATAGTTCAATCTCTTAATCTTTCTTCCTTCCTTGTTTGGAGAGGGGGGAACAAGGAAGGCCAGCAATGCACTTGTTCCTCTTGGTTATCTCTTCGTTGCAGATATCTATGGACGGCGGTTGTCACTTATCGTCAGGTGACTCTTCTGTGTTACCGTCTTCTCATTTGCTATACCAAAAAAAGAATGCCAAGAAGAGTTTCCAGAAATTATTACCAGTTTACTCAAGAATATTAAAAGATTAAAGTTACTCGTTTTTAGTTTAAATTAAACCCATTTGCAAAGAAACTAAAAAAAAACATTTACATACCCTTATTACATTACCTTAGAGCTGTTTTAGAAATAGCTTTAAGCTAATTTATTTGGTTTGACAAATCGAGCTTTCGAAATCAACGCGCTTGCAAATTGGATCTAAGAAAAAAGCCCTGAGGAATGCCCGGTTCGCTTTGTAAGGGTATTATTAAGTATTCATTACCTACTCGAAATTTATTTTAATAGGTTTTCCAAGCTTGTTACAAATGTTAAGGTATAGTCGTGTTACTGCGTAATTTTCTAATCTAATAGTTTACGCAACGCATGCAAATGTTCTTGTGTAGGTGTAATTTATCTTAGAAATATAATTAGTAGTCTGAACACCATAGTAGAAGCTCTGTGTTATGTGAGATAATATTGGTAACTCAATGAACATTATTGTTAATTATCCGAGTGGTGACGGATTAAGAATACAGACTGTCACCACCCCTATTCATCCCGTAGGTGTCGTAAGAGGCGACTAAGGGAGCAAACTACGCAGGACAACACCACTGCAGAGATAAGGAAAAATTGACATAAACCCTATACCAAACCGTCTGGCCAGCGTTGTATAATAGGCCAAAACCTCCTTTCTAAGGAGAGCCCTATGTCCAGCAGTGGACTATTAAAGGCTGTTGATGATGATGATGAATAAATATTAATCGTCCAACTGGATATATGGCTATTCTGAAACTGTCTAATTATAAAATCATCTGTTTATCGGAATTGTTGCTAAACATTCATAAACATTAGACATGACTTACTAACGAATTGAATTATAATATATAACGACCATGACAACGTTTGGATTACACCGATATGGTCACGAGTGGACTGAGATCGGGTAATCAAATGAGGTATTGTGACCTTGTAAAAAAGTGGATGGGGCGAGAGGCTGAGAATACAGCAAATGACGGATGGGAAACGGCACTAAAATTGCAGTAGTTCGAAGATTCTTGGTTTTGCGTACCCGTATGCCAGTCCACTAACAAGATTATTAAAATATCTTATTGCAGATTAGGGTAACTATGTAAACCCAAATCGAAATTTAAACAAATAGGAGTGTAATTTAAGTTCATAGTTATGCATGACGTAACAAAAAGGGAACAAATTTCACCGCCAAACCACATCACATAAACAACTCTATAAGATAAAATAAATTAATATCTAATGCTGCCAAAAACATGTTATAATAACCCAATTTCCTGTAAAGATACACCTAATTTGCATAACAAACATTATCCTATCTAATTACGTACTCTGTCACCACAACACGTGAATAAAGAAGTTACCGTGCGAAAATATTTAAAAAAGAAACACATGAACTAATTCTCGTACACAATAATTAGCCTGTAGCGTTTTAGGGTTGAACCGAATTAAAAAAACTGATCCTGTCTGTTTTGTTGGCGCGTAATTTGAGCGCGTCTTTTTTGGCGGTATTGTTTTTGATTTTGTTGCGTTCGATTTTTTTAAATATCTACTTAAAAAAAATAGGTACTTACTTAGGTTTTAATTAACTTTTATTTTATAATTTGTTACATTAATTCTGAAACAAATCTAAGGTAAGCTATTTTTTATAATTTGTTACCTTAATTCTAAAACAAATCTAAGGTAATTATTTTCGCTTTAGTGTTATTCTAATAGAATGAAGCGATGATCTATCAAAATGCTAAACCACGAAGATCCATCACTATCTTCAGGCATCGAAAAAAACATACGCCTTTATAAATGTTTTAAGCCGAAACTGTCGTGGGTAATTCACAACAGATAAACAAAAACTCACCTTTGTCTAAATTTGAATAAATTGTTACAAAAAAGGTCGATATCAAAAGGCGCTAATGACAGTGCGTGAAAACAAAATGGCGGGGGTATGCTTACGCATCTTATTAGATCCTTTTTAGCACTTGTAATGCGATTGATATGCGCAATGTTGTTTTATGAATATTAATGGGCTTGTCCTTTATTGTGCAGGTTGGGCTTACGATGGAAAGACGTTCCTTTTTAGTAATTTTTTGTAGTCAAGCTTCCGTGCGAATTCTGTGCTTGTGCATCTTAATTTAAAAAGTAGTTTTTTTAGGTACCAATTTAAAAAAAATGCATGAATGAATATGTTATATTAGGGTTATAGAATTTTGTATTAGATTTTATGGCAAATTATAAAGATATTTAGTTGGTGGAATTACTAAAAATGTGGATCTCATATTTTTTCGTGGATGTTTGGAAACCTCGGTTGTTCCAGAAACAATTTTTTCATGGAAGAGCTATGTTTCGGCACAGTTTCACTGGAGTGATATCACGGAGTCACAGAAAACCGGTGTTAAGCAATTCTATTGTTGCTTTTTAGCGATTGAATTACCGGAGGACCAAATTTTGCTCAGGGCTTTGCTTTAATCAACTGTTCTGGGATAAAAAGTAGCCGATGTCCTATTCTAGACTAATATCTATCTCTAAACCAAATTTTATACAATTTCGTTCAGCCGTTCTGGCCTGATTAAGGCCATCAGACAAAGAAACACAACCTATAAAGATTAGGAATATCAACCATTATCTTAACTTAAAAACAAGATGCTACATTTCTTTGTTTTTACAAATTAACCCTAATGTCCACGTATAAAAAGGTTTGATTATAAAATACCTAATCCCACACGACTTCCGCTTAAAGTGGAAGAAAAAACCCACAAAAGACAATGACTAGTCGATTTACATATGAGATTATCTTAAAAAAACTTGCCTTATACGCTTTAGAGTTCTCTAACCAAGGGTTTACTTGAAAACACGTTTTGTGTGTAATATTAAACAAAGATAAACATCACCATAATAATTATATCTTTAAGGTATTTCAGAGAGAAACCTTTTCAAAATTAAATTAATTTGTAGCCAATAGGTTTTCGTCAGTATTTGAAACACCGGAGTTGTTCAAATGCCTAATAATTTCAGTTAACAAACATAAAGAAAATATTATCGTCCCAAATGACGATGGCGGTATAGATGGTGGTATAGTAGGCCAAAACCTTCTTTCTAAGGAGAGGCCTATGTCCAGCAGTGGACTAGTATAGGCTGTTGATGATGATGATGATGATGAAATGACGATAAAAGACTCCACGCAGTGGTTTAAGCGGTCGCCACGCCGCTTCCTACTGCGCTGAGTGTTGTGGGTTCGATCCCCACATGGGACGACACTTTGTGTGATCCACAAATTGTTGTTCTGAGTCTGGGTGTTCTTTGTGTCCGTTTCATATGTGTTTGTTAAGTCAAAGTAACACAGGATTTATTGAGACTTTTTTTTGTAAACCTTTTTAAGTAAGTTATTCAAATGAACAAATGTTCATGTATGTTTGTAAAGCCTCCCGCGACACAGGATATATTCCTAACGCGGGAGTTATCTTTTTAAAAAAGATAAAATTAAAAAACTGTGGAAAATTGTACAGCTTTGTTTACAAAAAGGTTTAAAAAACTAAAAAAACACGCTTTTTAAGAAAACCAAACTAAAATATAGAAAATAAATTTGAAAAAAGCGTTGGGTGCCTGTTGTCAATAGTAAATAGCACCCTAATTATTTTATTTTTTTAATAAAAAAAATTTTAAATTAGTGTACTGTCATCGGTCCTCGATGTATCTACAAAGTTTGAACGAATTCTGACCGTTTAAAGTCAGTCAAAATCACGCCTAAGGAGTCGGTTACAAACATACAAACAAACATACAAGTGAAGCTAATATAAAGCGTGTAAAAAAAAATTGATTTAGGTAGATGATGATCACAGTCATCATACGAAAATATATTCAGTAACGCTGTACACACTGAGCATAAAATAGCATACCTTGTAAGGTGTTCAGATATTTTATAAACAAATATCTTAGCAGATGTACCTTACACCTTACTAAGCACAGCAACGAAAAAAGGATTTTTCACGGGATTTAAATAATGTTCATCATCATCATCATCAACAGCCTTCAAAAGTCCACTGCTGGACATAGGCCTCTCCTTAGAAAGGAGGTTTCGGTCTACTATACCACGCTGGCAGACGGGTTGGTATAGGGTTTGTTTCAAGTTTTCCTTCTCTTTGCAGTACTGTTGTCCTGCGTTGTTTGCTCCCTTAGTCGTCTCTTACGACACCCACGGGATGAATAGGGGTGGTGACACTCCGTATTCTTAATCCGTAACTCCTTACTATTGCCTATTGGGCAAACACGAATGATAAACATTTTCAACGAAATATTTATACTATACGGAACCCTGACCAACAAGTGCAGTGTGTGTCTCACTATTTTTTTACACATTATCGATGGAAAGTGAGATTTGTCGGGCAGGTGGCAATGGCCCAGACGCTTTTTCTAGTAATTAATCAGAGTTGCATCTGTTGGGTAATTACGACCCGCCGGCCGCATTTCAAGGGTTAATCTATACTAATATTATAAAGCTGAAGAGTTTGTTTGTTTGTTTGTTTGTTTGAACGCGCTAATCTCAGGAACTACTGGTCCGATTTGAAAAATTCTTTCAGTGTTATATAGCCCATTTATCGAGGAAGGCTATAGGCTATATATCATCACTCTAAGACCAATAGGAGCGGAGCACCAATAAAGAATGTTTCAAAAACGGAGAAAATTTATTACTATTGAGAGACGCAGACGAAGTTGCGCGGGTCAGCTAGTCAAATATAATAAAGAAATTAGTTTGACCAGCATGTGTTTTACGGCACGAGTTAATTAGCTGATGAAACAGTTTCATTTTAATACACCTTCTTGTATATAAATTAATAAGTATACTAGCTGACCCGGCCACGCGTTGCTGTGGCTAAAGTTTTTGTTATATTACATTATAGTAAACAATCTAAGAGGAACAATAAGAGAACATCAGTCACGGAGTCCACTATGCTTTTTCACACAGATGGTATTTGTAAAAAAATATGGTGATCTCCTTATTTGACTTTCTACTACTATAACCCTTTAGTACAATGAAATTATTTACGAACAAAGACAGAATGTTGATGTTGGTATACAAATTCACTGGATTGAGATTTGAAGGGGAAGTACATTGAACACAATTAATTAAAATGTTCTTACACTTGATATTAAGCAGAAATCAATAGGTACAAAATAAAAATTTATCAGATTTATTATTTCCATTTAATTTTATAACAAATATAAGTATATTACAGTATAATACAGTAAATAACATGTAACGCTTAAACTCATGAATGAGGTAGGCAAGGCAGACAGTCTTAAACTTTTAAACATTAATATCTATTTTTTTGAATTATAAATACTTTCAATTTCAATTTAATGTAACACCAATCGGTGCACAATGTTTTTGGTTAACCTGTCTTTAGCTAACACAAATAGATTCGACGGTTTCCCAACACGTGAACACGCAACATATAGTTGCCCATGAGAAAAACATGGATTTTCCAAATCTAAACCACAAATGGACATTGTTTGACCTTGAGATTTATTTATAGACATGGCGAAAGCTAAACGAATTGGAAAATGTAGCCTTTTGAAGGGTATGGTAGAATCTGATGGTATCATCGGAATACGTGGCAGCAGGACCACTTTAAACTTCCCAGCCAAAATGGTTGCTTCAAGAATGTTTCCGGTGATCTTTTTGATGACCAAACGCGTACCGTTACATAATTGAGGTGGATTCAAATTACGGAGGAGAATAATAGGGGAACCAATCTTTAATCGAAGATTATTTGGTGGCATTCCAGGGATATCTAATGAATTTAAAAATTCAATCGGAAAATTTACACTTTCATTTTCATCAACAACAGTATCGATTGATTTAAAAGACATCAGATCGCCTGGTAACAACTGTTGTATCTGGAAGTTAATTTCGTCAATATCAACGTTTTTGGCTGCCAAAATCGCCCGTTGACTAAGCCATTCATGATTCAAATAATTATTCTGTATATCCGGGAAAATACTCTGAATCAATTCATTTTTATCCTGAACAACAGTGCAAAAATTGTCTGGTAGTTTAATGCATTGCGTATTTGGTTGCAGTTCTATTTTACCGTTCCCAATATCTAGTAGTTGATCGGAAAATATTTGTGCTGATGGATCATTTTGCAATTGTACTCGCATATTTATGGTCAATCGAAGTGTTTCAACACTTCGCCATAAGAATGATTGTTTCAAACATGCATTAATCTCATCCGCGAAAGTAGAGCGAGGTATAACCGGTAAGGTCTGCCGTAAGTCACCAGACAAAAGTAAGATAGCACCACCGAAAAGTTTATTATTGCTGTTTAAATCTTGCATAGTTCTGTTTAATGCTTCAAGTGAATATTTGTGTACCATTGTGCACTCATCCCAAATTATTATAGAACTCTTCCGCAACACTGCAGCTATTCCACTATTCTTTTTGATGTTACACATTGCATCTGGTTTATTATGAACGTCCAATGGCAGCTTGAATGTTGAATGTGCTGTTCGCCCACCATCCAGTAAAGTAGCCGCAATGCCCGACGATGCTACTGCTAATGCGATTTTTGCGAAAAATGTCTTACCGGTTCCACCGGGTGCATCCAAGAAAAAAAAACCGCCTTGTTCAGCAGCAACAGCCAGCATAATCCGATCATAAATAATTTTTTGTTCTGCTGTCAGTAATGGTTCACTGTTCATGATAATTGTTGCTAAACTTCCATGGTCATATTGATTTTCTCGTTGTAAATCGGTATTGACTAAGTCGGTGGCTGGACGATTAGGTGATGGCATACCATAATGATTAAGTGGTAAATTTGAAATAAGAACACATAAATCCTCGATCAAGACCAATGCTTCATTGTACATCTCTGGTGTATAATCTGTGTTTTGGCATTGATTTGTTTGTCTAATTCGGTGCAAGATGTCTTCTGTCATACAATTTTTATATTTTTCCCACAAAGTTTGTGCTTGCGAGGGATAACATGTCGTCAAAATAATTGCAAACAACTGACGAATGTTATTCGGTGTTGATGTCAACGCAGCATCAGCAAGCGTTAAGTCCCAATGGTTATCGTCTTCTAGCAATTGCAGTTCACGACATGCATCCTGGTATGTATTGAATACTCGACCATTAACTGTTCGTAAAAATTCAAAAGACGTTGGTCCGGGAACATTCACCAATAACAAACGTAAATAGAAGCACTCACGTTGCTTTGGATGTACCGTGTAAAGTCTCCCCAATGTCTTAGCTTTGAATATGCCTGTAATGGAAGGATGTGGTTTTCCTTGTTTCCGTGGCTCCCATTTTTTACTGGATTTGTTCCATGTGAAATAACGTGGAACATCACCATACACTAATGTCTTCGCGAATTGGCCAAAAACATCAGGTTTTTGACACAATGTAAAAAATTCAGCGCCCATAAAATAAATTTGAAGAAATTTCGGATTGTTATCAGGCATTGGCATCAGTGATCCGATTTTATGGTACACTTGGCCTTGAATTTTGAATGTAGTTTCAAAATTACGTCCATCGGATGCACGATCGCAAATTTTAGTTGCCCCAAATGACGTCATTTGGAAGCAAGAATTAAATTTGCGTATATTACGCAAAAATAATTTGGAATCATCTGAATTGCCAGTAAGAAGAAATAATAAAGGCTCCGGCGGAGCGGGTAGAGGTGACAGCACAACTTTTCCTGATGCGCAGCACATGCCGGCTGCTTCATTCCGAAATTTCAATGCCTGACAATATTGACATACTTTATCAATTCCACCGATAGCAATTTTTGAATGCGCTGAGTAGTTAATATCTGGTGCATATTCAAAGGCAAGCCGAACGAATGATGCACGTGTTAATGAGCGGCTGATCTGTTGCCTTTGTCGATCTAGTACTCGTACTGTAGCTATGTTTCGTTCTCGTGCCGCTCTTGTTCTCGTAATATTCTGTTGCAGACGTTCGCTACAGTGTTCTTGAGATTCTTGTGCACGACTTTCCGCAGTCCTGATTCTTTGAGCTGCATTTCTTGTTTCGATTTGTTCTGGTAATTGCTGAGCTCTTTCAACACGTTTGCGTCGTGACCCATTGCTGCTCGCGTTGTTGAGGTTAGATTTTTTCGGTGGCATTTGACTGAAAATAATAATTTAATCGTTTAAATATAAGAAAGAGGAACTGAAAAACATGTTATCATAGCACATTGAAATAATAAGTGCAAAATAATTTTCAATGGAGGTTAAATAAAAATAATATAAAAAATTTTGTACAATTATAGAAAAAGTGTGGGGAGCTTTGTGCCATTTTCTCATTGATATTTTAATTAACTTTTATAAAACTATTTGATATTACTTACATGTATAAATTGAAATTATTGTTCCTGTGCTCCTACTGTGGCTATGTCTCGTTCTCCTGCTGCTCTTGTTCTTTTATAATATGAATTCAATTTACACTTCAGTCTAAGTAACACGTGGCCGGCTATGCTAACACCAAAAATTTAAAAAGTGGAAATAATTGAATTATACGGTATTTCGTTCACTACATAATAAATTTAATTAATTTTATAGCGTCAACAACACGTGGTAATTATGCTGTTAAAATGTAGCTTATATGACACGTTCGTAGATTTACCATAGCAGCGCCATCTATTGATTACTTACTCAACCCAGTCGAAAGGTATCGACAAACACCAAAAATTTAAAAAGTGGAAATAATTGAATTATACGGTATTTCGTTCACTACAAAATAAATTTAATTAATTTTATAGCGTCAACAACACGTGGTAATTATGCTGTTAAAATGTAGCTTATATGACACGTTCGTAGATTTACCATAGCAGCGCCATCTATTGATTACTTACTCAACCCAGTCGAAAGGTATCGACATCTGTTAGAAGCATTTGGAGTTAACAGATAATTGTGACTGTCAAATAATAACAGACAAATAATTAGCAATAAATTAAAATTGCGACTATAATTTGAGATTTAAACTATCCTATCTCTCAAGTTGGATCGAACTGCACATGATGTGCGAATTTTATTATAATCGGTTAAGTGGTTTAGGAGTCCATTGAGGACAAACATTGTGACACGAGATTTATATATATTAAGATATGTTATGTTTATGTGATAGTAAGCTAAGCGGCAGTAGCCTAGTGGTTGAGGCATTGGACTTGCGATCAAGAGGTTGTTTGTTCGAATCCTGACCAGTAACACCCACTTCAACATAAGCAAGTTAGCTTAGCTGGAGGGGTTAACGGGAATACTAGTAATTTTGGTTGGTTGAAAGACTTAATTTTTTTTATAAAAAATGCCGAAATTTTGAACTAATACAATTATTTTTTATAACTCATATATCCTCAATATTTCCTTTTTTAACTGTTTTTATGTCATTGATACATTGTTTTATAATTTTAGTTAACAAAATGAAATAAATAAAAAAAGAAACATTTTTTTGTGCAATATTTAAAAAAGTCTATGAAAATTCATTTGCATGCATGCAACGCAAAATTTCGTTTTTTTTTTATAAAAAACTTAAAAGTCCAACATCCTGAAAATGGTTAGGTTAAGGATATTTTATCGGATATATTAATAATGACCAGTACAACCCCCAAAAGTATCTAGGTCGATTTAACCAGTAACCCTGTATATATTTACTCGGGATAATAATGACAGACCTATTGTTCCGGGAAAAATAGCCTATTCCAGACCATAATCTATCTCTGTGTCAAATTTCATCCAAAACATCCGTCGATCCAAACTTTCGCATTTATTACAACACAATTTTTTAAATTTCCCAATAGCCTCCATAAAATCCTGCATTTGACGACTGTACAGTGTCCACATAGTATACATCAGAGAGTAAATTAATACTCTAAACAGGCCTTGTTTTGCATTAGTACCGATAGATGGCGTTGTTCTCTTAATGTAAACCTCGCTATTAAGATTTTTAACTGCTACATTACCTCCCCTGAATATTTGAATAATAAATGAATATCGTCCTGAGCCTGGTGTTTTCTTAGGAAGTTCCTTAAGTACCTGGCGACTCCTCGGGACGTTTTTGGGAAACTATACATGGTCCTATCGAGTCGGATGGACAATTGGTTATATTAAAGTAACGACATTATTATTATAATCTGTTATCGACGCTCTAATCACAACTGCTTGTGGAGGCGAATAGTATTCAAGATCAAGTCTAGTGTGACGTCACAAGGGTGCTGCACTGGGTTGCCACAAGAAGAACAAAAACAAGTGTGAAAAAGAGGTTCAAAGGTTTGCAGATTTAATCAATGTTGGAAGAATTCAGTGTTTGGACATAAGTAGGCAGTGACAAACTGTGAGTATATTTTGATGATTATTGACTTAGATTATTTTCAAGTGATTTAGAATTTAACAAGATACAAGTGAAATTAAGACTTATAAAATTCAATGTGCATGAAGAATATCAAATTTTACAAGTGTTGCATGGACTTAGAATAGTTGCTCAAAAAGTGAACAGACGGGGAATCCATGCCGGATTTCACCCCCAGTTAAAGTCGCGCCAAACACTTAGAAAAATCAGAGTGTCAATTTTATAGATTTAGAAGTATTTGAGTTTACATACAAGATAAAGATACAATTTATGTGTATTCCAATTTGAATGACCCGAGTACTATTATACTAAGTAAATAAGCGTTGTAACGATGGAAGCACATATCAAAATTCAAGAAGATACACAATTAAAAATTCAAAGGGCCAGAACTAATTTCAAAAAGTGTCCTAAAGACAGAATAACGCAGTCGTACCTGGAAACCCGCTTAGAAACGCTGGAAAACTATTGGAATTCCTATCAGGTCACACATAGAACTATCGTGTCGGTATCAGATAGGGCAGAGCTGGTGAAGACAAGCTATCACGCAAATGATAATTACGACGCGGTTGAAGAGCTTTACACAGATTATAAAACACAATTAAAGACATGTTTACTTAGCTTTAAGAGTCGCGTTCCATCTTTTTCAGAAAAGATTGCTGTGTCGGACGTCAACCCATCCCTTGGAGTCAGGTTACCCAAAATTTCTATCCCTAATTTTAGTGGACAATATACGGAATGGACTAGTTTTCGCGATTTGTTTGTGTCATTGATACACAATAACAAGGGATTGGATGACGTTCAAAGATTGCACTATCTTAAGGGTTATCTTACAGGAGAGGCTGATCAACTTTTGCGCCATATACCGATTACAGCTGCCAATTATGTGATTTGTTGGGAGCAGTTAAATAAAAGATTCAATAACAAAAGGCATTTGGCGAATTGTATTCTGAAACGCTTCATAGGTCAAAAAAACTTACAATCGGAATCTTCTAGTGCAATAAAGGAACTATTGGATACAACAAATGAATGTTTTAAATGCTCTTAAAAATTTACAGATTGATGTTTCTTCATGGGATGTAATTGTCATTTACATTGTTAGTTTAAAACTTGATACCGAATCAAGAAAATTATGGGAAATTCAAATAAGTAAAATGACAGATGAATTGCCAAGTCTATGTGATTTTTAGAATTTTTAAGTCAACGTTTTAGATCTATTGAGTTTTTGGATAATAAAAACAATAAGTCTGTTAATAACACTCGTACTACTAAAGTCATGCATGTAACCTCACCTTTAACTTGTGCCTTTTGTACTGAAAACCATAAACTGATAAATTGTAAGAAGTTTGCTAAGGAAGAGGTTGAAACGCGCCGCAACTTTGTCCAAACCAGGAAGTTGTGCTTTAACTGTTTAGGTCCAAACCATTCGGTATTCTCATGCCGTTATTCAACCAATTGTCGCATTTGCAAAAAAAGACATCATTCTCTTCTCCACCCAAATTCAGTCTCTAGACTCTAGGGGTACTTTTATGTTGAGATCTCTTTTGGATCAAGGATCTCAAGCGTCCTTTATTACCGAATCAGCAGTTCAGCTACTTGGTCTCCGAAAGCTTCCGAACAAGAGCTGTATATCAGGACTTGGCAGTGACCAGGCTGCAGTATTGCAGTCTAGATGGATTGTAACTATCAAGGTTCAGTCACGCCACGATCCCAACTTTACAGTTGAAGTCAAGGCTCATGTTCTCAATAAATTAACATCACTTCTTCCTGAGCGGAAGATTGTGTTTAAGGCGTTGCCAAATCACCTTTCAGACCTACAATTAGCTGATCCTTGTTTTAATGTACCAAACAAAATTGATATTCTCTTAGGAGCGGAAGTGTATTGTGATATATTAATGGATGGGGTTATTAAGGGTCTACCAGGTCTTCCTATTGCACAAAATACGAAGCTAGGTTGGATCCTCTCTGGAGGTATATTTTCTCCACCTACCTATGATAATGATACTACCATACCACAGATATGCATCAATGATCTGTTAAAGAAATTTTGGGAGTTAGAGGAACCTTCCAACACCCAAAAACCTTGGTCAGAGGAGGAACAGGCCTGCGAAGAGTTTTTTGTAAAAACACACGAAAGAGAGCCATCGGGCCGCTATGTGGTAAAGTTACCTTTTAAGTCGAGTGATCCTGGTTGCCAGTACGGCAATTCAGAAAAAATTGCTCAGCATCGGTTTCGTTTATTAGAGAAAAGGTATGTATGTATTTACAAAAAAAAAGTATATATTTATTTAAGTCAGTTGTCTAGTACCCATAGTACAAGCTCTGCTTAGTTTGAGACTAGATGGCGTTGTGTGAATGTGGTAGAATATTATTATTCTTATTATTTGGTTATCTATTATTTGTTTGTACAGATCATCAGGTGCGCCAATTCAATCTATTCCAATGAACGATCCGGATTACAAAAAATTCGCGAGCCCTTCGGTTTTTATGCGAGAGTCATCCCTGCCCTTATATTCAACAGCTAGGGTTGGCACAAAATTAAGATCGGGGCTTGATTTTATTCCCTTCGAAACTTCGTGAACCAAAAACTCTTCCAAACATACTTTTTTTTTTCTTTAAAAAGACAACTCCCGCATTAGGAATACATCCTGTTTCGCGGGGTACTTTACAAACATACATGAAACGAACACAAAGAACACACAGACTCAGAACAACAATTTGTGGATCACACAAAGTGTCGTCCCGTGTGGGGTTTGAACCCACAACACTCGACGTAGTAGGAAGC